TAAAATATATAGATTCAGATAAATTGAATAGATTAACTAATGAAAAAAATTAAAAAATGACATTTTCATAGTTAAGAGATAAAAAAAGGTAAAGAAAATTAAAAGTAAAAATTATGTAAAATTTTATAGTTAAGGGATTAAAATTCACAATTAACTTTCGAAAAAAATGGCATTAATAGAACTCCGCGTTGATTAGGAAGATGATAAACTTATTGTTGACTTTCAAAAACCAACAATTTTCGATTAAACTCAAATCTTTAAAATTTGGTTGATAAATATATTTTTTATAATAATAATATTCAATAAATTATGATTTAGTTGGTAAGATTTTGTTTAACAACACTTCTTGATACTTTGTTATTTGGTTTTTATATCTTTTTATTATTTTAAAAATATATAAAATATGAATTAAAATAAATATAAAATATATTTCATATATTTTGAGATATTAAAATATCAAAAAAAACTTACAACCATAGTTATAGTTAGTATTGTCAAACTAAGTTTAAAGTTTGATTATTTAGAGTGACCGATTAATAGATAATTTTTTATGAATTCTTTTATTTTGGTGTGAATAATTTTTTTTTTATCTAATTGAAGAAAAATTATTTTTAAAGTCTGGATAAATTAATATGAAAACACGTTGATTGCTCAACCAAAAGAATAATAATAATAATAATAAATTATTTTAGAGCATATGTGATTCTATGGCCCCTATATATAATTAGTCACAAAAAGATTGAAGAGTCAACGAAATCGAAAGAAATTCATTCAATCTAATTAATTAAACACATAAATCACAAGTACTGCATCATCTCTCCGTAATTTTGTTATGGAATATTCTTCGGGTTGGTGCTTGTGTATTTCTTCACCAAATTCACTCACTTGGTTGATCAACAATGCCTAAATATCCCCTCAAGAAGACTACGGTTGACAAAAAAAAAAAAAAAGGAAGAAGAAGAAAAGAGAATATATTTCCACTAGAAAGGAAAAAAGGTATCCTGAAAAAGGAGAGCGAAAGGCAGGTTTTGTGGTAACTGCTGTGAGGAACGCCAAAATCCGATGCTCCATATTGTAGGCCAAAAGCAGCTACAATATGTAGAAAAAGCAACACAGCTCTAACTCATTATACACATAAATAAATAACCCTCCTATCGCTTTAAAGTTGCAAATGCAATGTCACAAAAGAACTTGAAGCAATCTGCAAACATATCTTAGAAAGAACCTATTATTGATCTTGCATTGTTAGGTGTATACACTTTTTCACATGGATTAAAGGACGACTCTTTATTTGGTAAAAATTATGTTAAAATGACTCATGTGACTCCTTTTTTTTTTTTATTGATTTTCATCTTTTGAGACTTTTGATGGTTAATTTACATCTTTTAAAGGGTTTGATGGCTTATTTGTACCATTTTAAGGTTTAGGAGCTTATGTGTTAATTTAAGGTAAGTTTGAGAATTTAAGAGAGGGTTTTGCCTTCTTTCTTTTAACATTGGCAAAACCCAGTATTAAGCCCCCAGACCTTTTTCATTTTCTGACATAAGCCTTTAAATAAAAAAAAGTGGCATATAAGCTCCTAAATTCTTGAATTTGAGCAAATTAGCCTTCGTGTTAAGGGTGAATCTATATGCTCACGTAAACTAAACAATCGTGTGTTTTTTTACTTGACAATTTTTTTACATTTAGATGCTAATGCAGCAATTCATTTATAGTTAAATACTTACCACATATAATTTAAAATTCTTAAAATTGAAAGCTAGATCGCTAAATATCATACCACATTAGCATCTAAATGTACAAGAATTGCCATGCAAGTGAAAAAGAAAA